GTAATAAGCCAAAACAAATCATGGAGCAGGAGTCTACTTGTGTTTTTTTTGTTGTGATTTGGAAGAGTTCTTGCAACAGCTGCATACCCACTGAAATATCTTGCGGAGATCGATCATTGATTGAAAATAGCTTTTAATTAAATTGAATCCCTTTACGGGTGCGTTTCTTTGACTTTTAGATTCAAAACAGATCAAGAAGATTTGAAAAATCTTTCCTTGACTCCGCCTAGAGAGGCCGGCGGAATGATTAATTCAAAAAGTGTCGTTAGTCATCACGTTCGGATTCATTCCGGATTGAATTCATTTGACGGTGCGTTCCTCTGCAAGAGGATACGCTTATTTCTATTTTTGTTCATTCATTCGTTATTAGTTTTTCGAGAAGAGTTGGGAGATGCAAATGAACGGCTGTATGGTCCAAATGTAGTACATGAAGTTTGCGGTCTTCCTATTGGGAGGAAAAAATCATGCGGCTAGTTTTTAGTCAAGTATTTATTAACCCCTTACGCTCTAGCATCAGTATACATAATCTCCTTACATTTCTTAAAGAGCTGACAAGGAGAATTTGTTCAAAAATCAAAAGCTTTTTCCAGAGTTGGTGGTCATTTTGTTTTTTTCTTGTGACCATTAATGTTGGATTCAGGCGCGATTTTGTAGGGAGAGATAAGGAAGGAAAATCAGCGGGAAGCTCAGTATTTGCCGCAACAAATCCTCATTAGCCACTTCTCGCACAAATCGTGGACGTCTGGAATTGATCATAAATGAAAGTTGCAGTGATTCGTCGCTCTGTTCTTGGAAGTTGACACAAACAACTCCACAATCATGGCCACGATTTAGAGTTTCGTAAGCCGTTGCGCAAAGAAATCGATTAAAAACTTTCTCAAAAAAGAACGGTCGAACTGTCCGACATCTTCGGCGAAGATCACGGAACGATTTCCGAAGAACCCCATAAAATTCTAAAATATAGCCGTTGTCTTAAAGACAATCCATTGCTTTCGCCATTGTTTTCTGTGAGGAAATCTTGCCAAGATTATACCGTTTATGAACAAAAGTTAACGTAAAACCTAGCTTAAGTAGAGAACCAAGCGCAGCTCAAGGCGTAGACAAACGACGAAGAAAATTGTTCATTCGATTGATTTGGTGGCAAAGAAAATAACACAAAGACGCAAACGAACAAAGGAAATAACTTATATGAAGTCACGGCAGTCACAATCGTTCGGTCATGACTATTGTGAAATAAGTGTTATTCACTTACCGATTTCTCGGTCGTGAAGCCTCGGGTACTCAAGATAGACTCATATTTGCCATAGTACCGAAGTTTTCCCTTCACTGAACCATGAGTCTGATAAATGCCATGAAATTTTTTTTTCACTTTCCTCGAGTTAAAGGAATCAGCAACGGAATCATGGTTCCAAAAAAATATTTCAGTTTGAGTTTTCTGTTTAATGAGACAATTTTTTTTAATGATTTGGAAAAAAATCACTGACATTTCATGAAATTTCTCTGTCGCTAGATCACAGTAAGTATGCTCAAATCACACTTCAAGCTCCGCAGAATTCATTAAAATAAAGTGAAATCAGTCAGAGTGATTGCGCGCACGGTTCCTATCGCATATCTAGAACCCAGCTGCACTAATCAAAATCACTATTGTGAAATTTCCGAGTGCCTTATGTGAAAATCTTAGGAATTCTGGGCTTTGTCTTCAATTATACGCTTATTCCTTGAAGACTGAAATAGAATTGAGTCGAGCACGACCACATTGAGTAGTCAGATATCTTATTATTTCAACTATAAACGTGAGACGAGATTAAATGGTGGGATTTGGATGATTATAAGTATAAATAACATGATTCTAGTGAGAATGCTCCTGTGAAATCAGACTAAGGGCTATAAAAGTAAGACATTTAATTTAGTACGTGAGAGGACTGAGGAAGTAGTGTATTCTATTCTTTCGGTCCGCAATAATAATCCGTTTCTGTTCCCACAAAAGTACATGACACGGAAGAATAAAGGTTGCGAAATCAAATACTTCCTCAATGCATGACTAGTTGTGGTCTAGCTATGTTTTAAGTTCTGAGGTTCGGTCACCTTCATCTTAATCGATCTTAATTGTGCAAGAACGTTTTTGAATGCTGATTGTCCAGCACAACACGAAAACTAAAAACAAACTATATCTATCGTCCAGGATATATTTTCAATGGCAGAGCAGCGGAGAAGAAGATTCAGCAACAGAATCTAGGTTCCAAAAAAAAATTTCAGTTTGAATTTTCAGTTTAATGAGACAAATTTTTTCATGATTGCGAAAAAAATCACCGAGCAGTGTTGTCACGTAGAAATCAGGTTCGTCCTTTAGCTGTCAGTTTTCAATCACTACTTGACGTCAATTATTACCATCCGATTCATCGCATATCTTTTATAAGTATGTTTGCTTCACAAGCTATCATTTTTAATTTAAAGGAAACACGAGTTTAAAATTATTGTTGTGAGGAAAGTAATTGTAAATGTATTGCAATGGTACAAGTGTCATGGATTTTCATTTATTGATTTTCAGTTTCAATTTCCAGATGTTGGTTGTATCAATAAATACAGCACTCGCTGCAAAGAGACCTTGCTATTTTCGCTTCGGATGAAATCCTTCTTATGAGTGTTAAATATTTAAAATAAGGAAGAAAAAATAAAACCTTTCCACGCTAGTATTGAAAAATAATAATTTTGTTTTATAATAATTTTGAAGTAAATACGTGCTGTTTGTCATCACTTGGACGGGTCTCGCGCATTATGACTGAAAGTTGGGCCTGGGTGGCACGTGATAAAGGGCTTCTCGATTGGGTGTCATAGAATTAAAACCTAAGTTATCGCATCAACCAATCAGAATAAGCGAAAATATCATAAGTAGCAAATGAGGAGGCAGAGCGAAGTGAGCAAACCGCGTAAAGCGAGGGAAAACACGGTAACTAAGGCGTGACTGGTCTTAGTTTTGCGTCTGATTGGTTGAGAGAGTGGCGCAAATTTTCTAAAGCATTCACAGAGCGAACTAAAGCAAAACCACATAATCCGAGATTACTTTCGACACCCAATTGAAAATTATTTAAATCTTTCTTTTCAAAAACCATACCAGACTTAGAGAACATAAATATACTCAACCGATCTCATTTATTACAAAATAGCACTGTTAGTGATTAGCTGTTGGTGGTAAACTTCTGACCCCGACCAAGTACGAAAAAAACGTTCAGCCGCTGGTAATGCGAGAACGCTTTCAGATTAACTTTCTTTTTCAAAACACGTACTAGCTTGTAAAACACCTTGCAATCGATATTCCGCATAGTACAAAAAAAAGTACATTGTTAAATATAAGCTGTTAGTAATACGTGAATTGTTTTGGCCTACATGCGTCTCTCGATATGTTAGAAGAAACCTCCACACAGCGCTAAAGTATGCTCGTATGTTTGCCCACAGTTATCTTCTATATCGGAAAACTGTAAGTTTGTTTTAGGAACAGAGCTAAAGTTAACAAGAAAAAAAAAACAAACAAAACAAATAGTATTCTCATAGAAGTACGCACCTTCAGAACTCAGAAACTGCTGATAAACACAATATCAAACCTGGAACACAATGCGTTAACTGCGATGAAATATTTGCAAATGATTCCCTTGGCAGATCCATCTCAACTGAACAAAATCCACACAGTAGCATCAGGTAATCGTTCGCTTCCTCTTCTCATCAAAAAATGGCGCTCTTAATTATAATTGAAAGAATGTCTCGTTTGTAATATTTTCAACGTTTTCATTTCGCGTGGAAAGATATTTGACGTGAAATCCTTTTACTTTGGCGAATATTTTTCACGTTTCCATATTGTACACTGTTGGTCTGTGTCGTTAATGTGTCTTACTATTATTTCCGCTTCGGAAACTGTTTCCAAGGTCGGAAACATAATGTCAATTTTGCTTTTAAGAGGCGAATGGGCTTACATGGACTTCGGACCTAAATGTTTTTCGATATGCAAGATATTCAAGCCAAAGGAGACTGTGACAACGAAGGGCGCGTCGTAATCAAGATCCGAACCAGCCCTATACGCTTTCAAAAGACACGTAACCGTCTGCTTTCCTTAATCCGCGAGACGAGATCGAACGACAGTACAACAAAAACAACAAAAGAAAACTGCCAGACCAGTAGTCCGAGAAAGTTTAGGCTTTGAAGTTTTCATGACATTTCTCGGCTTTGGTTATCTGCGGATAGTTAATCATAGTCTACGAGCAGCCCCTCCTTTCCGACGAAGTCTGTCAAAACATAATGAAAATGTAAATGGTGTTAGCGCGCCGCTTGGAACTCTGGGAATGAGGCGCGCTAACATCAATGTTTCTTTCATTAATTTTTTTTCACTCGCGCGATAGACTTCGTCGTAAAGGAAGGAATGACTTTTCGTAGTCTAAGTTTAACATTTAATTTCCTTTTCTTTTGCATACTTTACAACACAAAAAAACTGCAACTAAAAACGAACTTATTAACATCAAACCAATTTGTTAGTTTGTTTTATTCGTTTCAAACGTGAACATTATTTCAATTGCAGTACAAAATTGTTTCCCCGTGCTTCTGATAACTTCAATAAATAACATTTAATTTAACTATCAGCCTTAATTTGCAATCAAGATATCCATTGCCCAAATCTGATCCCATCCTATGACGTCAAATTCCATAAGTCAAAGGCAAACGTTCAAGAAACCTGACGCCAACTTTTGTACATTTTGTACAAGACTCATCCTTTACATCCAGATTTGCACACACTATTAGAAAATTTTACATAGCATTAAATCTTGAAATTTAAATTTAATTATTGTTTTGCAAAAGTATGAACTTAAGCGGTTCAGTTTTTAAGTCCAACAAGTATTAAAGATCAACTATTTGCCTAAGGAAAGTTGAAGCTCTTAACCTTTTAACTCCCAGAAGTGATAAGTGATTAACATATAAATATATATATATATATATATATACATATATGTATATATTGTGTCACTAAAAACCCTAACTTTTTGAATACATCACAGTAGGAGATGGTACTAAAATAGAATTTTCCATCATTTTCACGTACCAATAGTCTTTAACTCGTATTTTCAACGAGCTGAATTTGAAGTTGACCAACAATGGTTTAAACAGCTTCTTTAAAGAGAACGATTTCAAACCATGTTAACAAAACAGTTGTAAAACACGTAAACTTACACGTATGCTTTGTTGTGATTGGGATATAGGTCTACATTAGATACCACTTCCTTTTTTAAGCATCAACGAAAACAATAACTTCCTGACATTGTTGTGCTCTCTTACTTTAATAAACTGTGAAGTGACCCCATTCTGATGCCAAATGGCACCATTTATGACAATTATTACTGTTTTTTTTAACGCCAAAACTGAATGCACCTTTTGGAAGAGAAAATTGGAAGTGAAGTTAATTCCGCAAAAAAACGAAACAAAATTGAATGGATCCTTCAAATGTATGTGCATGTCTTGTAGAGAACAATAACTTTGAAATTTGTTCCAGTGTAATCATGGTTTGAAAAGTTATTAAGGAATTCAGCCGTCAATTCATATCCAAAAACCTAACACTTACACCATAAAAGTTGCACAGAGATTACTACAGATCTGTTATGTAAACTTCTGTATTGTTCTGTGGCAAGAGATGGACTGGCCCAGAGATTACCAGTAGTGCCTGGAACCCACGGTCCACGTCGGACAATCAGTTGGGACATGTGCTTTTTCAGTGAATAGGACACTTACATGTAACCTCTCACAATGTGTCTATCCAACACAAAATCATAAATGGGTAGAGGCAAGCCGTTAGCAAAGCCTTTATGCACACACACAAAAAAACAGTAATAAGTTCCTTCTGGACCAGGCTTCTGACTCCTAAACTTACCTAATATTCGCAGGATGGTATGCAAAAGTTACTTTGTTTTAAATACATTGTTTACAAGAGTACTTACATCTAAAAAAATAGTGTAGCCTTAAATTTCTAGAATCTAGAATGATTGGTAGGTAATGGATTAAAAAAAAAAACAAAGAAACAAACAAATATTATAAAACAACTGGAATATCAGCCATTAGAGAATTTATCATTAATCTTGAAAAAATACTTTCTATTTGTTATCTGCTAAAAGTTTCATCACTTTAATTTAGGATTTGTACATCCATAGCACTGGTTTTGATCCATGGAATAGCAGACTAGAAGTTGATCATCCTGCTATTAAACAAAACACCTTAAATTTACCTCCTCCTAGAGTATGAATTCGCATTACCCAAAATTCACTTGGGTCCTTTATTGTGCATCATCTCTTTTCCATCAACTGGAAACACAGTGCATGATCCCTTGTATCCCCCCATCCTCCATTAGGACTAAATTTAGAAGCTAGATTGTGTTCACCTTCCTGTATGTTCACGGAGGGTGGAAATAAGCTGTTTGTGTTCTTCTCTATGATGGTTTGGAACTTCTGCACAGTAGCGTCAATCTTGCAATCAGTTTTCTTGTGATGAAGACCACTGTAATAAAAAAATTAATTTATATTATCACAATATTCACATCATAAAAATGGAAGGTCCTCCTCATTAGCACTCAAGACAATAACAAACAGTAAATTATGTGATCATAATAATCACATCATAAAATGGAGGGCCCTCCTAAATTTAGCACTCAAGACAATAACAAACAGTAACTTATGTTATCATAATAATCACATTATAAAAAAAGCCCTCCTTATTAGCCCTCAAGATGTGCATTTCTCTGCATCCAGGAATGTTTGAGACAAGTCAGGGAGATATTTACTGGGGGTCTAACACTTCATTAATCGTGAAAAGCTTGTGTCAAAGTGCTTAGAATGAGGGCTTGCTCTTAGGTTAAAAAAATCAACAACAAACAACAAACAAGAAAGAGTAACACAGATAACAATCACAGCCAGGATAAAATGCAGTTTCATACGTAAGGTACGTACATACACTTCCATACCTATGATGTAGCCATTAAGTATACTGATTGAATATCCTAAGATCAACTTTACCATTCTCCCAGGTGAAAAACTCTTGGGCCCTTGAGGATGAGTGACTTGAATGGCTGTGGCAAGCAGGAAACACTTATCTTCATCAAAGACCAATCCCAATTGTACTCATCATAGCTCTTACAAAAAACCTACAAAAATTGAGTGACTTCTTGATCAAGGCATGCAAATTGACATCCTCACAAAGGCAATTGCAGATTAAAAAAAATACATGATGACCAATAAGTAGAGGAAATAATCTTTGAATGTCCATTTTGTATGCTCTATCTTAATGCTACACAAATTCATGGGACCATGTGCACACATCATCTCACATCATGCATGTAGGGTAAAATTACATGTAAATGCATGAGTTGTTCTGGAGTATCTAATAATGGTTGGTAGACACTTAAAAATTCTCATATAATATTGTTACTAGCTACAATGGGTGTAAAAGTATGTTCCTTCCTGCTGCTAACAAAAAGGCACCATTTTTTGTTCTTGAGCATAGCAGGGTCAGGTTTTAAAACTCTTAATCGCACACACACAAATTCATAGCAGTCACCCTTAACCTAGTAAGTTGTGACACTTATGTGGAAACAAGTCTGTTCCTGGGCCTTTTAAACAACCCATAACTGTGGGGGGAGGGGGAAGGGGAGGGGAGGGGGTAGGAGTTTTGGATTTATTTCACCTACTATTGCTGCAGTAGTAAGTGTAAAAAAAGGAAGCATGCTAGAATATAGAATAGTACTATGAAGTTTGGTGAAAATTACCATGATATCAAAAGGCTCTTAACAACTAAAATAAATTAAAAATGATGTGTATACATGATTATTCCCACTCACATCACTACATTTTTTTATTTTATTCCATGTCACTCTATCAAATGCCATCCCCATGTTGTGTTCGTGGGATCTCCAAACTGAAAGGGCTGCCTGGATGTGGTAAAATTGTTTAAGATTTAACATTTAGCTCCTACGACACACCTCAAAGACTTAACAAGATTATTTAACGCTTTTATTCCCAGAGGTGATCAACATGTAACTTCTCCTCATAATATCCATACATTATCCAGCAAGTAGGTGATGAGAATACTCAATTCCAAATTCTCATGATAAATTTACAAGAAAATGTGCAGAAGCTAGAGGGGAGAATTAACAATCAGATCTTGGGAGTTAAAGGTTAATGTCATCTCAATGCATCTACTATTTTGTCCCATATTGTTAGTTGGCCAGTGATTTTACAGTGTGATAAAAAGTACATGAATGAAAATCCAGTTTGTCTGTGCACAGTGAATACCAAAAGTGAAAGCACCTTACCACATCTTTAGCACCATTCAGCTCATAATTATCCACAGCTCTGTAAGTACCCAAGGTTATCAAATCACAGTCTTCCTTACAACCACTGTCAATCAAGTAATGCACAAACATTTGAAAAATGTTGACAGACAACCTTATTGGCAGGTTTAACATTATAAGAATAATGAAAGAATTACACCAGTGCTTATGATATGTTATTTAGTGAGTTTGAAGTGCCACTCTGAAAGACATGTAACTGCTGACACTCCTATCCTGCATTTTGCTTGACAAATGCAAATCATAGCTGTCACAGAACACCATTATGTATCTTTGAATGCAGTTTGCTTAATTTACATGTTCAGTCATGAAGATGGCCACTAGTGTTATCCAGCACTTGGGGCAATAGTCCATTTTACAGTTGTGTGCTTGGTTGCCAAGCCTTTGAACAGGAGTGAGGCTAAGGGTGACCTTGTTATGATACAAACCTTGCTGCTTTTGAAATGCAAATTAATTTGTTATCATGCTAACTAGATTCTGGTCTCTAACACAACAAGGTCACCTTCAGCCTCACTCCAAATCAAAGGCTTGGCAACTAAGTACACAACTGTAAAATGGCCTATTGATTGTCTTAACCCTTTAACTCCCATAAGTGACCAAGACAGAATTTCTCCTTACAATATCAATAAAATATTAAACAGATAAGTGATGAAAATAAAGAAAAATATCAATTTAGGGATGATAATATATTCAGATATTCTCTGAACTAACGTTATAAGAATCATACGATTGAAAGTCAGTAGAATTACAGAGTTGATCTGGGAGTTAAAGGGTTAAATTTGTATTCGAATAGGCTCCTTGTAGTATTTTCCTTTCCTCTGATTGGCTGTAGTATTTTCCTTTCCTTTCCTCTGATTGGCTGTAGTATTTTCCTTTTCTCTGATTGGCTGTTGTGACTACTTTTGTTTGGTGTAACAAGGCTAATGCTCTCTATGCTAACTAGAAATTTATATTACGTGTTACTAACAATATGATTTACAAACTAGACCTAAACATTAGTAGCAAATGCATTTGCTATGATGAAGGGCTGACGCTCAAAAAGTCATCTTTGAAACTCATTACAGTGGCCAAATTATGTATATCAACTCAGTTAATAATAACAAATTACCTAAATAGAACTAACCTCATTTTGCTGTTGTACAATAATTTTAACATGTGGTAGAAGTCTGGACTAACATAGTAATCTTCTTCGAGGAATAAAACTGGACCTGCATAGTCTTTTGTAACATTCAGCATGTCAAATACTGTGTTTGCCTTTAGAAAAATTTACAATCCAGGTTAACAAATAAATCCAAGAGTAATTAAAAAGGAAGTGAAGATGATCTTAAAAACTGTGAATATGTGCAGTACTTAGCAAATGCCAAGACTACTAGTAACAGTAATGGGACATTGTAGGTGCATTATCCAAAAGCTTAAGATGAATAATGTGTAAGCAAACAAAGGTAGATGTTTTGTTTGGTAAATTTGTTATTGATGAAGACTTTATTGTTATTAACCACATACTTTTTCTTGCAAAGTTCTATATCTAACTCTATAATACAAAACCATCTTTAGGAATTTTTAACGCTAAATTAAAAGCCACTCTTAACATGGAATTTTTGATTGCTAAAAGAAATGGCACACTGGTAAAACATTACAAACATTGGGAAGCTTTTATTCATATAAAGTAACTCCCCTTTCGATCATTCTACCATAAGTGTAGTTAAATAATAATGCTCTAGGAAAATTTTCAGGGCGCCCTTTGGGCGCCTAACCATGACAAGTAGGTCACCCAGCCTTCCAGGTTGGTCACCCGAAAGAGTAGCGTTGTATACTTCTTACAGTTCCAGGGAATCCGCAGAATTGCCAAACAGTTTCATCTTTAATCTCTCTCGTTCAATATTCACTTCACCGTGCACGGGTGGCGAAGCGAGTTACTATATTTAGCAGTCACGTACTCTATTTTGGCAAACTTGTGATATCATGAAATCCTGTTATAAATTAACCACATACATGTTAAAACCGCTAAGAAAATTTCTTTGAAGACCACTAAAATAGGTTTCGAAACAAAAGGGTTCTTATATTAAAGTTTCATTTTCGTCAAATTTTGATCGAATGATTACAATTGCGAGCAAGTCGCCAAATATGGTGCTGATAAACATTAAATAAACACAAATTTGCATAAAGGACGGTTCCATATTATTAATCACGCACCCCACTATTGAAACTGTTGAAACACAAAAATTAAATATAAGCAAATAAAATTAATATAACAGGAGCCGGGGAGCACGATGGAGTTTCTTTTTGTTTCGTTCCGTTCCGTTTCTATATGTTTGCTGGTTTCGTTTCGGGTTTTCACACAAGCTGAAATCTATGTGCCCGGACGGGCGACCGCTTTTCTTTCTCAGTCGCCTGAGACCAAATGTTAGTCGCCTGAGGCGACCGGGGCGCCGCTAGAGCACAGCCTTGTGAGCCATGCAACAAGAATTCATAGGCTATTTTTGCACTTTGTGCAATAGGCTGGTTTTCTCAACTGTTCTACTTCCCTGTTCTCTGCAGTATTACATACTGTAGAGTAATTGCAATACTAGCATTGTAAGTGATGTTTAATCTTGTAAGTAATGATGCTTTTAGTACATTATGTAGCGTTAGTAGTGTAGGTAAAGTTAGTGCTGTAAGCATTGTAACAGTTACTATTGCAAGTAGTATTAGTTTTTGAAAGTAAAGTTTGTTTTTGTTGAGTAATGTAAGATTGTAAGAAATGTCATTAATGTTAGTATTATAAGTAATGTGTATATTTAAATAAAAATTTTTAAAAAAGTGAGCAAAGAACAGTTGAACAGTGTCTTCCCAAGTTGACCCTACCAATTGCACATTCAGAAAAGGAAACAAAACCATCTTTTTCACATACAAGGTCTATATGTCACCATTGTGAAATTGCCTATATGGTACTATCAGCATTTTTCTTTCAGCATGTCGTAGCTGATTGTTTGAAAGAAGGAGTGTACTCTACTTTTACTGAAATGACACCACTAAGAGGATCAAGAATTTTGTAATAACAAAACTTATCTCCTGAACAGCAATTTATGCCCCTTGAAAATGTATCCATTCTTTCAAGCAACTGGAGCAAGGTAAATCTGCGATATAGTGAACTTACCTTCCACCACCAGTGATGTTTTATCATAGTAAATGGTGCTTGTCTGTAGTGACCATACATGTCTGGAGTCTCTGCATTGATACAGCCCATTTCTTTAGCTCTAAAAGTGAAAATACACTTTTAATCCTTTACACTCTAGCATCAGTATGCATATTCTCTATACTGTTCTCTATACATTTTCTAAGGTGCTGACAAGGAGAATTTGATCAGCAATGTAGAGCTTCTTTAGTTGGTGATCATTTCATTTATTCTCGTGACATTCATGTTTGATTCAGGAGTGGTATTGTGAGGAGAAATTAGATGCTAGTCAGTCTCTTAGGGGTTGAAGGGTTAATTAGAATAAATTTCTTTCAGACTCTGAACAGCTCATTTATATACAGTCATGTGTGCATTTTTTTATCACATGCAGGTGCAATCTGTGTTATTTGGTGTGCAGTATGGAAATTGCATGCATGTCAAGCATGTGTGATGCTGCAGTTCAAGAGAGCTTTACCAGCATTACAGTGAATGTAACAAGTCCCATGTCAAGCAAAAGAGTTGTCCATGTTTGAGGTATCTGAAAAGTTGAAGATACCAAAAATGAATTTGATGTACTCACTTCTCACGGCTGATATCTCTTGGGCAGTCCTTAGGATCAGTTCCAGGAAACTCATTTGGATACAGCTGATATGAGAATGGGAAAAAGATTTGCATGACCTGCAAAAAATAAAAAAAATAAATTAAGATAAAAAATACATTTAAACTATATGGAGTAATTTTTTAGGAATCTAGATTCATAACAAGAAGCAATGCTTGACTGTGTGGTGGGATCATCTGGGTATCGGAATAAATCATACTTGTTGTTGTTTTTAGTTTTACTTCTTGTGACTAATGTACTGCGCAACTTTGCTCTTTTTGTTTAAATTCCAGTTACTGTCATCAACAGAAACCCCTCTCTGAACAACTCTTGGTCAGACCACAAACTCATAAAACATTGGAACCTGGCAGTGTTTTTTGGTAAACTGCCAGCCATAAAGGAAACAAGGTTGATTTCATTACCTACATCTAGATGCGTTAACCCTTTCACTCTCAGGATCTCCTCTGAGTTATTCTTGTTACTGCCTGCCATACAATTCTCATGATTTTAGTTTGGAGAATTTGGTATTGGATCTACTCATAATCCCCTAACTGACATTTTCTCTATTATCATCACTTGTCTGCATGATGTTGTAGTTATATTGTAAGGAGAAATTCTTCCTTAGTCATTCAGGTGAGTTAAAGGGTTAAACAACAGCAAAAGCAAAAATATCAACCCTAGATTGTATCATGCTTGCACTTAGTCAAAACAAACATGCAAAAAATGACAGGTTGTGCTATTTGACATGTACCTGAAACAAGCTAAGTTCACTAACATTTCTTAAATTTGCTGACTCAAATTTTGAGACATAATTGACTCATCTAAGTCTCGTGAGGGCTGTCCAAGATGTTCATTAAGCAATTAATTTCATGTATATTTTCATAATGATTTTAAACAAATTATCAATAATTGCGTGACAACTTACTCTTAAAAGCCCCCCGAGGTTCTTGAACCTTTCTGAACAGTGAGGAGAGCGTCTACTGAGTATATTGTAGGTAATAATTACGGTAATAATCTCTTGTAATCGCAATGTATACTCTGGTTTTCGGGTATATGTTTCCAGCTGCTTTTGTTTTGGCAAACAATAATCAACATAAATTTACGCGAGGCGTCACTAAGTTGATACATGAATAATTGATTCTTTGAGGAAAATTTACGTTAAGAAGGCTTCCGACTTTTTACATGTTTTGCTATCCGTAATTAGACTCCCCTTGGAATAACACTCCAAATTGATCGCTGCGGTGTTAGAATCACCTTAAAGCTACGAAAATGACCACGTATTAAAAAGGAAAAACCTACTACAATAAATTACCACGAGAGGTATTGCATTAAGGACACTTCAGCGTAACGCGATATCATGGGACAAAATTAAGGAAGATTTTCAGCCATCTACCTGTATTATTAGGAGCATGTCATAAGCTTAACTTCATCCCTACAATAAAAAATCATAAACATAGTGCGAAACAAGTTATGGTAAACTTGTCGAAAGTCAACATTTTCTTCGGAAAAGCTCTCACTTTTGGTAATAAATTCCCAGCAGTTTTAACACCTAATTGAATTAAAATGAGAACCAACGTTGACCAAGGATGAAGTTAATTGAAAGAAGGCACTTACTCTACAAAAGTCGATGGATTCCACCAGTTTGTTCATTTCCTCGGAGTGATAGTCGTGACTGACAATAATCAAAGCATCTTCGATTCCTCTCGAACGTCTCATAGAATTCAGTAAATGAGAAAAATAATCACTTCTATCGTGCACTTGAATAATGATCACAATTGAACTTGGAGACAAAGTCGTACCGAATTTGTCGCCATTTCTGATGTACTGTTCGTCATTCATATTCTTTACGAAATGTCTAAGTTTCTGAATCTCAGGTTCAACGCTTTTGTTTAGTGAAATTTTTATTGTTGGTCGCTTTGTAGTAACACGTAAGCTCTCTTGCGGGACATTGATGTTTATATTTTCATTCCTTGCTTCAGTTTTGATAGCGTTTTCGATTGATGTCGTCACAAGCGCATTGATCTGCGGCCGATTTAGATAAAAACCATTATTATGAGGAGGAGGGTCGATATTGCCAGACGGGTCGAAGGCAATGATCTCGTGTAGCGTCAGCACCGCAATAACTGCTCCAATTCCCACCATAACCAAAATAAACAGTTTTGTACTAAAGAGACGTATAGTAGTCCCTCTATATTTGAAAATCATGGCTTCAGCGTTCAAAGAGGAAAATACCATACTGACTCCTTGCTACAGCAAGGGATGACTTTGTAAGATATATTCAGTTGAAACCATAATGGCGGACGCGAAGCCGGCGTTCCTAATAATGAGGGCTAAGACATGCATGTTAGTCCCTTTAAAATGATCCTTCTTGCTACCAAACTCTATCTTGAATCCTTGGTAGCATATGTTTTCCTACAGGAACGAATTCCAAGGTCATCTAAACATTTTTCGGGGAGTGATTTCAACTGTCACTAGCAACCATTACCGCAGATACAGCTTCCGTTTCCCGTGTTTGCGCGCGTGTAATTTATTGCTGAGCGCCTTACCTGTGTCCACTCTCACTCGGTCTGCCCACGCTGCGAGAAACAAAATGGCAGCTTGTGATGCAGTTTGTGTTACTGTAAAATGGAGTGGAAAAGAATATTCTATCGACAAATTATCGCCGACAGACACGGTCGGATATCTAAAAGAGGTGATAAAGGAAAAAACCGGAGTTTTACCCGAAAGACAGAAACTGTTAGGTTTGAAATATAAAGGTAAAAAAAAATTTAGTCGCTATTAATATTTGGTAGAGCTGCAGATTGAGAGGGAAACGTGTGTAAATTATAAAATTAAATGTGGTTAAATTTTAAGTTATGATGGATAGGAAAGTTTCTTAATGAGGTGAGTTCCTCAAATGAGATACAGCTTTCACACATACGCCGTAAATCTTGAAATTACCACTATCTCTTTCCAAGGCGCCTTTTTCAAATTGTTTTGTCACCAAACAACAGTTTTCTGGTGTATTTTTCATTTCAGGGAAAACTCCTGATGATGATGTGCGCCTGAGCGCCTTAAATTTGAAGTCTAACACAAAGATTATGATGATGGGAACAAGAGAAGAAAAATTAGTACGGCTTGTTAATTTTTTATAAATATGAAATATTAGTCCTGAGTAACTTGCTCTACCTACGTGAATAGTATGTTATGATGACCTGAATTTTCAGCAAATTAAAAAAAAAAAAAGAAGATATCGTAGCTGTCAATTTTTCAAAAATTTAGTCTGTGCACTGTGTTCTATGGTGATGACAGAAAACCTAACACTAATTTTATTTTCAAACATGTTGCTTGCATTTTTCTCTTAGGCTGAAGTGATTTCTCCTTCTGAAGAGTTATTGAACAATCAAGTGATAAATGACTTTGACATTGAGGAAGAAGAGATCCAAATAGAAAACAGGTATGTATACCTATTTAATGACATTGAATCAAAGCGCTTCATGAGTCATTACTTTTAAGGTCAAGATTTGCATCCTCATTCCCACACTTTTTGCCATATCTTTTTTTCCCGTCAAAAAAAATGTATTTTTCACTTCTCCAATTTCTCCAAAGGAATAATTTGTACACCAAAATTTTGGAATGAAAAATGTAGGTCACGGTGCTCATTTGAGAGGTAAAGACCACTGTACTTGTTTACCTTGCGTATCAATTGAAAAACAATACCATGTTCTTGGTATGCATGCATGTTTATTGGCTGAACACAGTTAACACAGTTTGCACAGTGCAATACTGAGGAATTGCCTTAAAGAGGCTCTGGGGAATAAACCACAAAAACTCTTTCTCTCCTCAAAGCTTCATATGGCAGTCCATGGTGTATTGCTAAATTTTTAAAGATAAAAATTGGTGGAATTTATAATTTGTAAGTTTGTTGTAAAAATGTAGATAAAAGAACAATTTTTGGCTTTTAATAATATTTTAGGTAACCAACCATGTTATATCTTTGCAGAGATGAGAATCTTGCCAAAATAGATAAAAGAATATCAGACTATAAAGTGGAAATACGTAATCCACCAAGAGCTGGAAAGAAGTTACTGGTACTTGATGTTGATTACACAATATTTGGTGTGTATATATTAGTTTTAACTTCTTTATCAGTTTAAACAAGAGCTACACATTCCATTAATGAAAGTTATCATCCATGATGATTCAGTTATAATGGATAATTAGTTTGTAGATTTTAAAAATGATATTTATTATATCTCTCAGTTAGAGCATGCACTATGGAAATCATTGGTCAATCAAAATTTTGTTTGAATTAAAATCTTCCCCCTCTATTTGAACTCAGAAATATTATAGATATCTTACTAACCTCATTTTTCTGCTCTGATTGATGGCATGCTTTGCATTTAGGCCAAACATGTAAATCCAAGAGGAAAAAACTGTGACTTACAGTAGGGACCTTAAACTCCATTACTAAGAGGTATTGATCTGGAGATTATGTAACTATTTAATTTCAGATCACAGATCAGTTGCAGAGACTGGTGTGGAACTTATGAGACCATATCTTCATGATTTTCTCACTGCTGCCTATGAGCATTATGACATTGCAATATGGTGTAAGTGACTGTATTTAACAGTTATTGGCCAAAAGTGAAGTAAATATTGATGAATACTCCCTTAGATAAAGTCAAGGGGAGTTTTCAGCAATATTAACTTAGCCTGAGGTGAAGAAGTGTTTTAGTTTAATATTTGCTTAGAAGGTGCTTTCAAATTATGTTGTAAATATTTATTTTGGTGTTGAAATTTGTTTTTAATAAGTTGTTTTGATTACTCATACTGGGATAAGCAGTCAGTCTCCATTAGAAATTAATAGGTTTTAACCTTCATATCTTTCTTTTGAAAAGTGTCAGGCCAAACTTACTAGCATGAATTTTCTCCTGTTAGGTTTATCACTTCCTTGGCAACATTGACAAAATGCAGTACAGCCATTTTGAAACTTGTAGCTCTCTTGCTACAGTGTATAACCACCTTGCCCAAGGTGCTCATTTCTATAATCATTGCAGCATACTAAAAGTTACACTGAATTTCTTAAATTTGAAAAAATAAGTAACTAACAGAATCAACAAGAAAGTAAATTTGTTATGCAAAACCTCATAGGAAATTTTTGAGAATAAATCCTTGTCAGGGATGACCTTATCCAGGAAAAGTGTGATTTCCATCATTTCTTGAGAGGCTGGTGTTTGATCCTCCATGGAAGGAATGACTTGTCATGCAATCAGCAAACTATGTCAATCTGTAAAGTCAAAAAACTGAACAAAAAATTAAAACTTGGAAGAAACTGCCTGTTTTAAATACCACGTGTATTGCTCATTTTGATAGAATCAATGATTTAGTACATTGTATTTTCTGAATATTCCAATAATATTTTTCCTGCTGTTTTTAACACAGCTGCCACCAGTATGAAATGGATAGAGGCTAAAATGAAAGTAAGAAAATTATAAATGAGTAAGTTATATTCTGTGGTTTTACAGTTGTTGAATTCTTCATAACTGTGTACCATTTTTATCTAATAAACTATGTCATGATTATAATGATAACAATGATGGTAATAACAATGAAAATAATAACAATGACAATAGTGTTAACTTTATTGTTAATATTGATAATAATAATTATAATAGTAATGCTCATAATAATTATTATGATAACGTTATGATTACAACAACAACTTACGATGGTTATGATGATTATGATAATACAATGTACATGTTGAAATCAATTACAGTATTAGTTTTACTAATAATGATAATGAGTATGATGCTAATTTATTGGTTTCATTAAACTTTGTATTTTTCTCCAGGAACTTGGTATTTTTGACAATCCAAATTACAAGATTTCCTTTCTTTTGGACAGTGGGGCAATGATTACTGTTCTGTCAACAAAATATGGGCTTATTGAGGTAAAGTTTTATATTTAAATGACTGAGTGAAATATGGAGTAGGAAAGGTGGCTCTGTGTCACTAATGCAATCTTTGAATTGCTTAAGACTCATTTTTCTTGTAGACTAAGCCACTTGGTGTTATATGGGGAAAGTTTGAGGAATACACAAGCAAAAACACCATCATGTTTGATGATCTCAGAAGAAACTTCCTCATGAATCCACAAAATGGCTTGAAGGTATAGTTATATTGTGCATGTATTCTGTTAGTTATGTTTCAAATTAGTATTAATTTTTATCTGAATCGTCAATAATTGAACCTGTTTACAGTCTTTCTTTTTAATAAATAATTGAAATGAAAACAAACAAACAAACAAACACAGTGTACATATACAATGTTTAATTCAAGCCATTATTTAGTGTTCCATGTAGATGACATGCTCCATTGCCAAAAAACTAGCAAGATTTTAAAAAGAAACAGATTTTATCTGTGAGATGCATGATGTTTCCTACAAATGTAATTTAATTTATAACTATACTGTCATTTCGTTTTAAGATCAGACCTTTTCGAGAAGCCCACAAAAATAGACACAAAGACAGAGAACTGTTAAAATTAACAAAGTACTTGAAGAAGATTGCCAAACTAGATGATCTTAGTGATTTAAACCACAAGCACTGGGAGAGGTGTGTATGATTATTAATATATACAGTACAATAATAATAATAATAATAATAATAACTCAAGAATTTTTATGCATTAATCAATTTGTTACAAGATCCCTCTAACATGGGTTTATTAAAGTATACAGTCACACATGTCTTCCCTACATGCTAAGTCATGTATACAGATATATACTGTTATACTTACATAAATTTAGATCCAGTAGCAAGTAATTTTTGTTTTGTGTAATTATGATGAATTACTCTTTCCAAAAGAATGTACAATCAAAGAGTAATGCCAATTTAAGTTTTTTTTTTTTTAAGTGCCAGGTGCAGCAACAAAACCCAATTTGTTTTTTAAACAAATACATGTTTTGTGTTCAATAAATCAGCTCAAGTAAATTTTTCAAAGGCTAACCAAATTGCAAAGGCCTGTAGGGCAAGTGCAATTTGTGGTCTTTGAGCAAGTGCTGATTTATCTCAAATTGCAAAAGAAAAATAATGTGATTACTAGTTAATAATATACAAGCAAAAAGATTACTGTTTTTGCTTTTAGTTGTTTTTATTTTGTGCCATAACTCACTAGTTCAGCTGCTGGCCTCTGTATTATTGCCAGAGGTACCAACTTCTCCCTCAAAAACTTTCTTCAAACTCTTAACACCTCTCTGAAGAATTATTGATCATTTATATTCTTTATCTTGTTAGGTATCAGTCAATAGTAGTAAGCATTACATGAAAGCTATCATGCTTGTAATCTTCCCTGTCTTTCCTATGAACTGTTGTATAAAACTTCTAGAGAATTTTATCCAGGACCTCTTGTTAATGCTTTTATATCCATTTTTGGAAGCCAGACTTAAAGACAGTTGTTTCCCCTTTGTTGGGTGTTTTTGTTTTTTGCATTCTCCCCCAAACTCTGAATTAATTTAACTCTTTTGTTGTGATTTTGCGACTTACCTGTCAATCAATGTAATTTCAACTTAAACTTCCTGCACTCAATTTCAACTTTCTGCACTCAATTTCATCATTCCTGGATGGGATTGATGCTAGTCCATTGCAAGGTTACCCCCTAGCATTTCATTAGGCTTCCCACCTGACAATTTGGCAATACCCATTTATACTCCTGTGTGGGGAGAAGCACTATGAGTGAAGCGTCTTATCCCAGAACACAACTCAGTGATCCTAAACCTCTCAACCAAAAGTCCAGTACACTGATCATAGGCCACTGTGTCCCCCAGCATGTATATGGACATTGAGATGATTTAGATGGACCCTTCTAACTTTTAAAGTTACTTGCTTTTGAATTCCTAGATTACTTTCTAATGTTACTGATTAGTTTGTTTGTTTTTTTTTTCAGCTACAAGCCATGATGAATAATTTTCAATTTTGATATAAATGAAGACAGTTGATATGAAGACAACTCCAGGAAGTCTAAAATAAGAAAAAAAAATTCTGATTAGCATTAGCTTAAAGTTTTGTACATAACTTTTACTTTGGATGAAAGTTTTAAAAATGGTGTTGTCTTTGTTCTCAACAAGCTTTGTAATTGTACATCAGCCACCGTGGGTAACTGGTGTTGTAAACTCCTCTGGAGGCTAACATGTAGTTATTTATGCATACCTTTTATAGTCAACCTGATGTTAAATATTGATGGTTGTTGATATTATTCCCATCAGAGTTTATTGGTCCAAATAATTCTCTCCAGAATTTGTCATCAGGTTTTAAAAGTAATTGAAGCCTGGAGTTGAAAGCTCAATTTTGCTTGTTACATACAGGGTGTGTCTGTGGAGCTTTGCTCTCTTCAGAAAATACAATAACTGTCAAATTTATTATTATTATTATTATTCTATTGTTATTTAATTGTTTTCTTAAAGTAAGCAATTACTCCTAAGCCCTCTGTTTATCATAAGAAATTACACATACATTAATGAGTGAGTAGAAAATATCATCAGGAAAATGTCATTCCCTACTACATACTCTTGGTTACATCCCTGCCTCTCTCTTGGTAACCCAAAAAAGAGGGACCAGTATCAAGTGGTACTAGGGCACCAACAGTAATGTTTTCATCAAGTGCTATATGTGCACAAACCATCTGTTAAATAATGCAATTAAAAGACTACAAGGCAGTGGCCAAAGATAGGTTCAAGAGAAGTAGCTACACTGATTTGGTTCAGCAATTGCCTGGTGACCACCAAGTTGATATGTTCCAATCAATGTAGCAGAGTGGGAAAGGGTAGTTGACATCAAATGTTACAGTTAAGAAATTTTCTCTTTATTAATAGCCGACTTCTGCATGCAAGTGGAGAACTGTACTATCACTTTTCCTTTTCTAATAAAATCCCACTCCTCCCAGTAAGAGGGCTCTTTCCATTTACATTTTCTCTTACCCTTCTTAACAATCACTATCCATATGGAGAGCAATTTGGAAGGGGTGATCTGTTCTTTCAAAAGAAAGGGAAATACTAGATATTTCAAGCATTACACAGATGTTTCATGAAAGCCAGGTTACTGGCAGTCTGCTGCTACCTATAAGACCTCTTCCCACCTTCTTTTCAACTTTAAAGCTGGCTCTTGTGTTTGGGTTTTATCTTACAGCCCCTTTATGGGCACAGCCTCCTATTACACCATCAGCATCCATTTAAGGAAAAACTTTATAAACCTCTGATTATACTTCAGTCTAAGCTGAAGGAGTGCTGTTAAACAAATACCTTGTTTTGGTATGCATTGAATAATTGGCTGTAGAGTGGGAAAGAGTTGCAAAGGGGAAGGCATAGTCAGGAGTATGTAAGCAATCATTTGTAGGAAACAGTGCCACGGTATTGCACTGCTTGCTTTCCCTGTTAAGGCTTACTTTGTTCTGCAAATCCAAAATGGAAGAATGGGCCAAGCATGTTAATATAACTTGTACAAGTCTGTGGAGCTGGCCACAGCAAATCATTTAATTTAATAGCACTGTAAGAAAACACCCAACAACACACTCACTTATCTTCTAGCTTGACTCATTATCTATGGCAGTTACATGTACAAGCATCACAATAGCTATTATCTTGGACAAAGTTTGTTCAACTTCTTTATATTAATTGGGTATAAAGGGCGACAGACTTTCTTCTGAACTCAGATGTCCCTTTAGACAAGTGAAGTGCTTGTTTTGCCTCTCCAGAAAACCTCAAAAAACAACTGCTAGGTAAGAGGCAGGATTCCCTTGCAACTAAATAGTGCACACAATATTATGAAATCAAACACAAGTAACTGACACAGAATTATATGTATTATACTATTGCATCTGATTGATTACTTTTGTCTGTTTGGAAAAGTTACTTCTCCAAGACATTTGGACGGTCCAAATTTCACACACAAGTAACTGACATAGAATTATATTTATTATACTATTGCATCTGACTGATTACTATTGATTGAAAAAGTTACCCATCCACAACAGTCAGACAGTCCAAGCTTCCTGCTCTGCTACTAAATTTCACGCATTTGCAGATAAGCTACCGAACGATACTGTTAGGTTTGCTAATTAAAAAGGCCATTAGTACAATAGCTAGCAAAGCCAGTCTTGTAACATACAAAAATAGCATCTCAGTTCCATTTTTCTCTGCAAAAGTTGTTGGTAGTTGTTTCTGTATTAACTCTGGAACTCTCATGATCTGCAGAGTAATTCTTCTTTATACGTGTAGCTTTCTGAAGACTAGTGTTTCGCTTTACATCAGCATAACATCCCTTAGCTTATAAGTCTGTCCTCTCTCAGCACCTATTGGCTGGAGTATGTATTGATAACGTAAGGTAGAGTCACGTAATATAGACGCCTGAGACGAAGTGGATTATATGGAGTTCCTCCAGTAAGAAAAATAACAAACATGGAAATCACATTCCATAACGAGTTAGAACAGAATTGTACTCATAAACTTATCACAAGATCCTGGACCTAACTTAGATTGAGTTAAGACCATACAATCTCCAGTATTGTGGTCTTAAAAGCTGTCATTGTCTTAAACAATTTTCAAAGTGTGCAATATTTCATAATGGATGTCATGATTGCACGTTGGTCTCGGATGATTTTTCTCCAAGTTCTATCCGTCGACCCGTAAATCCAGTCTTATAACCTTGATTTCGTTCAAAGATAGTTTGTGGTATTCCTTCCCTGTATTTCAAACTCTGAACCTTTGTTGGATCATCCAGAGAATCAATCTGCCTTAAAGTTCGTTCCTCCATGGTGCTTGGTTTTTCCTTGGACCATTTTTCGCTCGTCCTCACTCGATTTTCCACATAATAGCCAACAGAGCCGACGACCACCGCAATTGGTAAAACAACGTAAGGAGCATATGTTCTTGCTGCGGCTAATATCACAGGCCAAACCATGATAGAAAAGAAGGTAAAGCTTCTCTCAAAATTTGTCGGGGTTCGATCAACCGTGCAATATGGCGGAGAGCGGACGAGTGGAATCTGGGGATGATTAGTTATCAAGCTTTCTCGTTGGTTTTGTCTGCTTCGTGGATGCCTGGCGGAAATCAAGAGAAAGGGATGTAATCAATATGGCCGACGACTGGTTACTTTAACGATGATGTTGAATCGTTAAGGATTTTCACGTTTAAATATGATTAGGAGAGGATTAATGAGTCCTAAAAATATTTTGATACTGAGCTTCGTACTTTCTCTTCTTGGATTTTTATGGTTTACAAATCAATGCCTTCAAGGTACGTGATCTGTTATTAATAGCTTCTGTTGGTAAGTAGGCCGTCGGCCCAGCCTTTCTTTAACCCTTTCAACCCAAATATCAGTTTGCATATTCTCCATACTATTTTCTATACATTTCCGTAGGTGCTGACTAGGAGAATTTGTTTAACAATCAAGGGCTCCTTTGGCTGTTGATAATTTTCTTTATCATGACCTTAATGCGTGATACAGGGATGATATTGTAAGGAGAAATTAGATGCTAGTCACCCTTAAGGGGTTAAAGGGTTAAGTCTTATTTGGTACTTGCTTGACACACTCCTTGATGGAGAGACGAACTGTGAGAGTAAGGTGGGCTGCCCAAAGACAGGGTACAATGACCCAGTCAGGGCTCAATCGTAGACCTTAAATGGAAAGTCCTGTTTCAAAACAATAGGCCAGTGTCTCTTCCTCCAACTCTCCCTTAGTTATGTTCCTCAGAAAAGTCTTTGAACATCTAACATGTTGATTCTGGGGGTAATGAATGGTCACTTGAAACATTCTGGGTTGCAGAATATTCATCAGATCTTAAAATCTTGTAAGCCTTTGTGATAGCTGCTGATGTCTCACAATTCTTTCAAATTTCTCCAAGCTCATGGCAATCCACCAAATAGTGATTTATCTAGCAAACAGTGTTGTGCACCCTTGGAACAACTAGGGCCAGAATTTGTTCCTGTAGCTTAGGGTCTTAGTCTAAGGCAACCAGAGAAGCTTAGGGTTTTTGATTTGAGGGACAAAAGTCTGTTTGATCACCCATCCCCTAGTCATCAAACCAGTCACTTTGTTAGGTTTAATTTTGAACCAATCAATACTGCTCATGATTGGTACATTTTAGTTTATTTATTTTTCTAACCGTTGTTGTTTTTTTTAACAATGTTTCTTCTAGACTCTGGTAGGTCAAGGGATGATGTGGTAAGGATAAGCCAAATGCTTAAAAAACTGGAAAAGAGAGAGCTCTTATTACAAGAAAGAGAAGAAAAGATCATTAAGAAACTTAAGATCCTAGGAATAAGAAAAATCAACAGTCTGTTTGAAGAAGGCTTTGATGAAATGCCAACTATTTATTTTATAACTCCTACCTATAAAAGACATACACAAAAGGCTGACCTAACAAGACTGTCGCAAACACTGTTACATGTCCCTAAACTTCACTGGATAGTAGTAGAAGATTCTGACAAGAAAACAGATCTTGTTTCACATTTCTTGGAATCCTGTGGTGTTAGTTACACACATTTTGCAGTCAGAACTCCAAAGCAGCTCATAACTAAAGAAGGAGACCCAAGGTGGTTAAAAGCCAGAGGTGTAGAACAGAGGAATTTGGGCCTTAGATGGATAAGACAAAATTTAAAGGATGATATGAAAGGTGTTGTATATTTTGGAGATGATGATAACACTTACGATTTGAGAATATTTGAACAGGTAAGGTACATCTCAAATTAAATTTAGTCAATCATGAACTCTTGGGTGTTTAGTTTGTATATATGTAAATGGTATCACCCCTTTCTTTGGTGGTGCTGCCACAAATGTGCAAGTTGTAAGTAGGGTCATTAGAAGCTGAATCATGACTAATTGGAGATCTCTGCAGGTGGATTAGTCACTGCAAGTCAGAGGACCCCTAGTTAAGTAGATCAACTTGAATATAGAATTAGTTACCTGTAGAGATCCAAACTATATCTTTCTTTCATTCTACCGGTAACTTGTAATTCCTTTTAAAAGAAATTAAAGAGCATTTCAAGAATTGTGACTTTTATTATAATGAATTTATATACTTTCACAAATTTTAACTTTTAGTGTACTCTTTTTTGGTGAGATTTTTAGTGACCATTGAATGTGGTTTGACAGTTCTGTTTTAAATTTTTTAACCACTTCTAGATGCGATACACAAAGAAAATATCAGTTTGGCCTGTAGGCTTAGTGGGTGGTTTAAAATGGGAAGGACCAATTTGCAAAGATGGATCTGTTGTCAGATTTTACACAATGTGGGAGCCAGGACGCCCAATGCCTGTCGACATGGCAGGGTTTGCTATAAATGTCAAACTGATTATGGATAATCCTGAAGTGGAAATGGACCCGATGGCCAAGAGGGGCTATTTGGAGTCTTCTGTTGTTGGCAGATTGGCAGCAAGGGAAGATTTTGAGCCATTGGCTAATGATTGTAAACAGGTACACCAACTTTGTTGGGTTAGACAAAGCTTCAGAACTGGTACAGTGTGCAGGTGTAAATTATCATCAAGTTAGACAACATATAATTTTTCATGGATGTGTATCAACTGCATTGATCTTTTACAAATGAATATCAATTTTTTTTGATGGACTGGACATCGATTGGTTCAGATGTATGTGAGCAATTTTCCTCTGCTCTCACAAGACCACAAATGTCACTCCCACTATCCCTGATTCCTAGCCTGAATTGCCAGTGTTCAAAGGTGGAGGGGGGGAGGAGGTAGATTATTTGAGCATGAAGGGCAATATATGAATTAGCACCCAGACCCCAAGCTGGCACTCACATCAATCACCTAACCCCTTGTTGGTATGTGGACCACTCAGGCTACCTGGTTTCCCTCTTTCCCACTTGCACTAAGTTACCATTCCACCTCTTGCTTCCCTTTTTTAACCCCTCCCATTACTACTCCTACCCTCATCCCTTGCAAGCACCACCTTCCTTTTGGCTTTTGGTAACGCAACTCTCTTGAACAACTAAGAGTTCAAAATTAGCAGCTATTAAAACAAGCGGAATGTGGTTGAGATTCCGTAGAAGAATGTGGGTGACTGACACTGGACAAAGCTGAAAAGGATCTCAATTGAATGATCTTGCTCTTTGACACGTTGATCACAACTACAAAATTTGTAAACGTTTTCCTTTCGGTATAACTCTACCTTTATTTGTTTGTTTGAAAAGGAACGTTAAAGAGAGTTAGCTTAATGCGTTTGTGACAGATCCTCCCCTCTTTTAGTCTTTGCACGTGCACACATGTCAAGTTTTAATTGATTTCTTTGGCCCTTAGGAAATGCTTTATGTGCAATCACTTGCAGAGGATTATTTGTTCAATACAGTTTTTTTTGTTAACAGATACTTGTGTGGCACACGCAAACAGCTGAGCCGAAAATGAAACAAGAAGATAAATTGAAAAGAATGGGACGTGAGTCTGATCCATCCATGGAAGTCTAAACATTGGTTATCCGCTAGCTATGCTGTTTTTCTATCAAAGTTTTATTAAACTGCTTGTGGAACAATTGGACCATATCTTTGTTCTCTTAGCACTATGAATTTAACGAGCTCTAATCTAAATTTTAAACTAAAATGGCAAGATAAATATTTGAAATTAAAAGAAGGTTATTTTGGAGGACGAATACTGATTAACAAATATATTACACTCAGTATTTGTGGAGAAGAAGGAATTTGATCTTGTTTGGGTGTACGTTTCAACGGTGAGTTTTTGACAATAATGGCTGCACTTTTCGGGAGTAGTTACAGTTGCTCTCTTTCTTCCTTGCCAAGCATTTTCGTTCCTTTTCAGGGATTATACATTAATTCGGTGTTGCTGAACTGTGCTTTCAGTTATTAATACGAATACGCGCATCAGTCATCTTGAAATCGACTTGTATTAGGGCTAGACTTTGGTTTAAGGCCATACACTAATCATGCGCACTTTACCTTCTTTATTAACTCGGCCTTTTTACGGCAAATAGCAATACTTTCGCCGTGGGTGAAAACGTAGGTCTGCCCAGTTCACTCCAGAAAGGCGAAGAGTAAAACTTTTGGATTTGTCGGAGCTTGGTGTAATTAAGATATGTTGGAAGAAGCTGTCTGTAGAGGAAGGGCGCACAAGCTTATTAGAGAGATGGGGCATCAATGTACGAACATCCACTCAGATTTGAAAGCAACCGAAAGCGCTAGTTTGACGAACCTTCGGCAAACTCCATGGAGTGCTCTATATTTGAATTCTCCTTAAAATTCACTTTCAAACAAAGTGACAGGGAGGTCGAACACAGGAGAGAAAGAATTTTAATTCTTAAAAAAAAAAGTCGTACTGAGGTGCTGTGAATGCTGTTTTTGTTTTATTTTTTTCATTTCAATCGTCTGTTTTATAACTTTCGCTGGAAAGATGAGTATACTATCAAATTTTAGTTTCCTCGGCTTAGCTTGTATGATTTTTATGGAGATTTTGATATCAATTTGATGAGCGTAGCACACGACTGATTACTCCTCTGTCAACCCTTATTTGCGAACTTCCTCATCTATGAATGTGCTCATGGAAATGTTGTTCTACCTCTGACTTGGTCTTCAGAACAACTATGAGAGGAGTATGCTGTGACTGCTATGCGGCGAATATGCTGTGTCGTCAACAGTATGACCTGGACTGTGAAATGGCCTGTCTTGGTCGGAAAGGGTTGAATTCACTGGAGAAGAAAGTTCGGAAAGGTGATTACTTTTAACCGAAAACTGCCCTAAATGGCTCTGGAATTAGCAACATCCCATTTTAGTTACTGCCGGAAGCGACATGAAAGGTGTTTCGGTTAATTTTCTCCATTTCCCCTTCGAAGTTGAGAGGAGGGAGATTATTTGAGCATGGAGGGCAATCTTTGGAATCTTAGTGCTCCCTGATCTAACGCTGACACCTGCATAAATCACTCCACCCCCTGTTGGTACGTTGACCACTGAGCTTAATGCTACTTGCTTTCCCACTTGCGAGATTCTTTCTCCTGTACTTTTAGATTGTTGAATTTCCCAACACCTAAGCTTTACTTCTCAATAAGACATTGTGAAAATGGACATCAATCCAGTAGGAATTTACCAACAGTGCCAATTGAATTATGATTTTTGTAAGAGTGTCAATTGAATGACCACGTTATTCCGAACTGCGTGGAAATGAGTCTCGAAAAGGATTCTGAATTACTGAGTAAATTGCATCGGCATTAAACAAACTGGAAATGCAAACTTAATTCTATCGTTTCTTCTCTAACTTAAAATTCGTTGTAATTGACGCCATCGTCTTCACCCATTAAAACCTTTTTCCTTTTTACTTCTTTTAACACTGAATTATGAGTATCTACACTCGCCTCGGCACGCATCATCTCTGATGCTGGTGTACAACTCGTTGAGCCGATTGAAGTCTGCGGTGAGTGCATACTTGGTGTCCGGTTTCGATGCAATCTCTTTGAGCTGCCCCATGTCGTAGTTTCGTCCAATTCCAATAGCAAATACGGTGATGTTTGCCTCGTGCAGTTTTTGGGCTGGTAGTGTTATATTGTCAGTTGATTTTCCATCAGTCATAACTATAAGAACTTTTGGAACCTCTGGACGGCCTGTTTCGTCGAATAGTTTACGCTTCACGAAAGATAATGCTTTTGCCGTCAAGGTACCGCCTTTCAGGTAAGGTGCTTTTTCAATATCCTTTATCATTTGTTCCGCATCAAAGTATTGCTTTAACGTGAAGATAGTTTTGATCTGAAAAGCACGAAATAGAGAAAAATATCAATTCAATTGCCTAGCAAAACCTCAAGAAGAATTAAAAAACAGCACTATTATCGCAATAGTTATGATGGACATCTTCATTATCGTTATTGCCATCGTCGTTATCGATGTTGTCATACTGTTGTCGCCATCGTCCTAAGTGTCATGGTCATCATCGTTATCTTAATCGTCATCTTCATTGCCGTCATCGTTATCATACTTGTCGTCATCGTGATCATCGTTATTGCCATCGTCATCATTATCATCGTTATCGTCATCTTTATTGTCATTGTTATTGTTGTTATCATCGTCATCGTCATTCTTATCGGCATGGTCATCGCGTGATCATCGTAATCATACTTATCGTCATCGTTTTCGTTATAATCGTTATCGTCCTCGTTTTCGTCGTCATCTCATCGTCGTGATTGTGGTCGTCATCATCATCATCATCATCATCATTATTAGTCCCAACGTCATCCTCTCTTGTCATGAAAAAAGGGGATGGGGGAGTAGTAGTGTTTGTTCATCATTGCTCTATGACCTTAGGTTCACAGGTGGGCAACTGTCATACAAAAAATCAGAAACTGCCTAAACCGTACTTTTTATTAAATATAAATGTAATCTACTTACACAAGGGCTTGCCAGTACAACAAACCTTTGAAGAAAACAAGACCACTCCCACGTGTGTAAAGGTCTCTGAGATAAATGAACCGTTCACAGCATTTTTGATGAAATCCAAACACTTTTTGAAGTTTCCTTTGCCGTATTTTTCGATGCTTCCTGAACTGTCCACTAGGAATCCAATGTCTATCTTGGTTTTACATTCTATGCAACGACAAAAACATGATAAGTATCAATAATTTTTTTTATTATACAAAAAAGCAATTGTTAAAACCCCTGAACGCATTCCACTGTCTCTGACATGACCCCTCAAGTGCTTGTTGTTAACAGTTATTTGTTTCTTCACTGAATGACTTACTACAAAATCCACAAGTGAGAGCACAATGCTTATTCATTCCGTACGGGTACTTGGTACAGAAGTCATTATCTCTGTAGTCTTTGCAAAAAGCCTCGTAAGCTTTGTCATCCCGACAGGTGTCATCTAACAAAAAAAAAATCCATACATAGAAAGGGAATGGATAGATAAGCAAAGAAAAGAATAGGCTAAGAATTTAGTGTAACCCACTGTAAAAGGATTGCGCCATATTACTGAAGTCGCAGGTTCTCGAATACTTAGTAAATATTATTTCCGTAAAAACTGTCACTAATACTTTCAACAGAGTGAACATTTGTGCAAAATTAAATTTTATTCGGGTGAAATCCGTGTGGGAGCGAGGAATTCCATATCAAACCAATTAAGAGTAATTTTAGATTGTTACATCTGTAATAAGATTGGTTTAAATGAATGGCTTCTTTCAGTCTCAAATGTAATCTAGAAATGCATTGGTTTGCTTCTCCCTAACCTTATTAGTCTCAAAACTCGCTCTTTGTTCTTAACCAACCAGATGGAAAACTCAAACCAACCGGGAGATGATCCTTAAAGTTTTACTGTGCTAGTGATCGTTTAAAAGCTTTTGCTATGAGCTAATTTCTCATCAGTTCCTCGCGAAGTTAAGCTAACTTTTGATTGGCCAAGTCTACGAGATAGCTAGTGCGGTTTTTGTTTTACGACACTTAATCGAAACAAAGCTCTCTTGTCTCACCAAGGGTTTACTTTAGCCCTTCGGCCTAGCGTACCAATAGTGTTCAGAAGCGATGAGGTTCGATTCACCATTTTTGAAGAACTAATATGACATATTTCTGTTTCCACATTACTTATTTAAGGAGGTGACTTCAAAATATTATGCTTCAAGAAAGTAATGTTCGCGTAACTATTCACAACAAGCTCAAGTTCAAGAAAGCTATTTTTCGTGAAAGAATATTCTTTTTGTTGAATTATTTTTTGGGAAAAAACGTACTCTGTGGCACTTCTTGTCTTGCCCTTCCAGCTTCTGTACCTTTGTAAAATAGTAGAGTGTTGGAATAGAGTTACACATTAACAAACAATTATTAAAAGTATTTTACAAGTAAGGAGAACTTTGATCATCCATCGCAGGAGCGACCTACCGTACTATTTTAAAATTGTATCTTAATTGATATCCGGGTGTTTTTATACATTTAACCCTAAAACTAGAATCTAATTTCTCCGTACAATATCACCCCTGAATCAAACTTCAAGGTCACTAGAATGGAGGAAATGAACCAACTGAAGAAGCTCTTAGATGTCAACTGACAAAGAGAGAAAAAAAGGAAGAGAAAAGTATGGAGAATTTGCATACTGATGTTAGGACGTAAAGGATTATGGTCGTGTCTCGGACTGTGAACATCCGTCATTTCAACCTATTAATTTTTTATCTAAACTTACGTGCATCCTCCAGGCTGTGATGTATGGTTGACCTAAAATTCTCGTTGAGCATAGTGCTACTTTTTCTTGCAGCGCTTGAGTCAGCGATGTTCCAGTTACTTGTAGAGGCGTCTGAGAAAAACAAGATATTATCACAAGAATAAACATAACATTACAAACAATTCAGTCGCTTTGCTAGATCGTATTCCTGAATGTTTTACATATTGCAAAACACCTTCTTACGCAAGTTCCAGGATTATCGTGGATGTCGCTGTTTGAGAGTCTCAATTGGATTGTAGTTTTTTAACGGCTAACGGTTAAAATTTTGACCATTTTACAGCTAAAGGTTAACTTCCTTCCTTTATGATTAAAAGAAAAATATCCACGTTGAACTTTTTTTACGACTTACTGTTGCAATTTGTCAATTTTTACGCCCAACGGCTCAAGTTTTGGGCCTTTTATGTTCAGCGGTTAACCCTATTGAGACCCTCCTGTTTTGTTGAATTGAGAAAGCAATATTATACTTGACTCTGTGCGTTTTTCATCCCAGCATGTGGGTATTTTTATCCGATGGGTAACATTAAGTTTGTTTGTTTTTGTCATTTTTTAAAATACTTTCTCAGTTCTTACCTTTAGTGAAGACTGCTAGAACTGATAATAAGAGGCAACCATAGAAGGTGGAAATCTTCATTTTGACAATCTGTAACAAAATCGAAATTGCTTATTTCGTTAGATAAATTGTGATTATAACACAGACATTCAACAAATTTCCACGTTCTTCACACACAGAATCAATGAAACAAAATGTTTTCGACTTTATTCATATCTAGAAAGCTAGATGAGACAGTTTTTAATAGTGAGGTTTTTCAGATCGCGTTCGGGGATCACAATGAAATTAAGGGTCTACGAATAGTTGATTGCCTTAATGCACCCATAATCGATTATATTATGAACATAAACATGTTTGTTGCTTTTCTTTTGTTATTATTTAACATAAGTTATAATGTAATAATTACGATAACAGTGTTTGTTTTCAGTTTGGTGTACAATGTCATTTTGAATTAATTACATTACAACTTTACTTGTTGTACTCACTCTGGTTTTAAGCTGACAATGGTGCAAAAAATCTGCTTACTTACCAGTTTTGGATCGTTTGCTGTTTCATCGAGAGAACAATGGAGCCGTGACTCCTCAATGTTTGCCTGAAACACCTTACAATTTTTCGGGAGAAATGATAAATAATTATCAGTTGAAGGGGGATTGGTTTTACGTGTGGTGTATTCAAAGATTGGCAGCAAGTCACAGGTGTTGGTACAAATCGTCACGGGTGTTTCCTTTTTACCCTTTTCACCCTAACATCAGTATGCATTTTCTCCATATTGTTCTCAATACATTTCCTAAGATGCTGACAAGGAGAATTTGTTCAACAGTCAAGAGCTCCTTTTGTTGGTGATCATTTCCTTTATTCATGTGACCTTACTCTGTGATTCAAGGGTGATACTGTAAGGAGAAATTCTAGTCACTCTGAAGAGTTAAACGTTAAAGCGATCTCTGTGTAACTGAACTTGATAACTCCGAGAAAACTTCAAAAGACCAGGGGGGGGCACAGAGGGGCTATGTGCTCTTCAACTTTTTGTTTTATTTGTTATACCACAGGCGGCCCGAACTCCAGCTGTGAGATGATCATCTTGCGAAATAGGAGTCATGGCGAAATCATAAGAGTTTGTATGTGAATATTTATGACCGCTCTTAGGAATTAAAAAATACAATCAAATTCCCACTAGAAATACTTCACCTTACTTCCACAATGCATCTCTTGTTATCTGACCGCTTACTGTGTTGAAAAGGACCCATTTTAGCGAAGTATCCATTTGTAGCAGGTAATTTAGTGTTAAAAACTGAGTTGAAAACGTAAATTAGCCACCGTAAAGGGTAAAAAAGCTGACGTTTCGAACGCCAGCTCCTCGTCAGAGCGAAGGGTCAACCGGTCTGACGAAGGGCTAACGCTCAAAACGTCAGCTTTTTTACCCTTTACGTTGGCTAATTTACGTTTTCAACTCAGTTGTTAACACTAAATTACCTGCTATACTCTCCCACCGACGCAGCACCACAGTTTCTTTAGAAACTTACCCCTTTATCCATTTGTAGGTTTACTACGTACTTAACTGAGAGAACTAAAATTACCAGCTCTCTCAATGTAACAAATCATAATTTAATTCTACGTGATTCGGTTGTTCTTTTCGGTTAGTGCAAAAACCCGACATAAGTAACAGATCGAAAAAGACCATTAACAACTGAATCTAGTCACTCAAGCTCGCAGCCAAGCAATACTAATCAAACATTTTTCAGGAACCATGCTTATAACGCTCGATTGTCAAACAACTTTTTTTCAGCCCTGAGGACAACTTTCCACTCAAGTGTCAATGCCGCCGACAAACGTTCTTTTCAAAAATACCGTATCCGGGAAGATTCGACTCAACGATCAGCACTTATCTTCGTTTTAGAACTTTGCCAAGGAGGTTTCCATTGCTGCTTGCGACCTTACGGAGACCTTCATCTTTACTTCGAATTAGGAGCTTAACTAAGTGTCCTTAAACAGTTAGATAAGCTTTCAGTATTTACATCAAGTCTTGTATTGATCGTACTTTGAACGAAGAAAATTTTCAGGAAATAAGCTTTTAAAAAGTAAACCGTCTGGATTAGCTTCGCGATCGAAAGTTAACCAAGGCTAGATACAGTTTGTGGTTAATGGATTTCTCTGTTCTCGTCGTGACGCAGCATATTTTTTTCCGCCAATTTGTGGGCGAAGCGATAAGCCATCACAGCACGACTTTTCTGTCACCGATGTCGAGTTTTACGTCCATGAAAAATTGCTTCAGGTGCTCAGATTGCGTAGTAAAACAGAAAATGCATTTCACGATCAGTTATGAAATGAAAACCTTGAAGAGAAAGATGTTCTTGAAGTTATTTACACTGTGTTAAAATATATCTCTTACGATAATTAGCAATTTCAATCACTGTAGTCGTTCATCCTTTTGAGAAATATTTGTATTCTTTATCCCGACATGGAGAACAAATATTTCCCAAACTTTGAAATCGAGACTAGCGTTATGATTCGATATTTAACAAAGACTGCTTAAAGGAATATTGTCTAGAACTTTAATTTTCTCACTATTTCACAACTGAATTTTAACTTCATAATCATGTTCATGTATGATTTCAAGATTAGTTCTACAATCTTAATCAAAAGTTCATTATTGCGCAGTTTTGTCTTATGAAAGTTACGCACAGCCACCTTCTCTCTCGCCTGAGATTTTATCAACAGAACCGCAAGAAAAGTTCCCACCTGGAAAGAACTGACCAATTGTTATGATATACGTGAATTTTCTAAAGTTGCAATTAACTTGAAAGGAAATAAAATGACACTTTTGTTGCAATTATTAGAAAGATTGTTAGTATAATGAAAGGAAATAACTCAATTTGAGAGGTTTTCCGAAGTGTAATTAGATAAACTGTCGACATTTCGATTGTTGTTAATTCTCACTTAGATTCACGGATAAATCGCTGATTTTCTCGTGTCCGCTGCCTTAATGAGATTGGAGTTGTATTTCGTGATGTTCTTATCATTCCTAACTAAACTAAATTGTCGTGCCTCAAGCTTTTTACACCTGTTTACTTAGTTTAATAAAGCTAGTAAGTGAGATTTCAGTTTCTCTTCTTCTTTGCCATGGTAAAGTTGAAGTACTGTTATCCTTCATGACAAGAAAGAATTTTTAATTTTTCTTCAGCTTAGGTGTTAGGATTAAGGGCGAAACATTAAATTCTTTCAATTGCAATAATAATTCGTATTATTATTGATATGTATTAAAACCCTGTTTTGCGTAATGAGGGTTGTTCCCCAGTGTAAAAAGTTTTTAATTCTTGAGTTATCTCAAAATATACGGTTAACCTTCGGCTTCCACTGATTCTCTTATCTGTTTTACCCCAATTAACAAAAATCATGATCACTCTAGACCCACTTGTCATCGCGCAAGAATCATATTTACAAATGGTAGGGATATGAATGTCAAAATCTTCCTCGGTAATTTTTTTTAATCTTTTCACCACGGGCAGATAAAGAGCCTGTGATAACAATTCACAAGTTTTTGTTGTGCATGTGTTAAAAACTGTCTCTGGGAAACTTCAGAAATTATAAAATCGTCTAACCGACCGTAGTCGGATCAACATTAATCCGTAACACGTGTTTGGAGGTAGAGGCTAATAATTAAACCGTATAAAGGTTAGTCACGTTTGATGGTAAATCCTGTCAGGTGCGGCACGGAAAAGTCGTATTACTATCAATTCATTATGTAAAACTTACGTCAATTAACAATATTCCGTCATCTATTAAAGGGGCAGAGATAACATGTCTTGTTTCAAACTACTATTCTAAACTTAGGCGCGTGAACAAAGCCAACGACATCTATAAAGGTGAGACTCCTTTTTCATGGTTTTTTTTAGCAGATTATGTCGTTACGGCATTCAAATTTTTGGTGGTAGATTCGAGAGAGTTGCTCTTTTAAAACCTCCTGTTTTTATAATATTCTATTTCTGTGTTCCAAAGACCTTCACTGTAATTAAACTGAGGTCAGGTGCGAAACCATTGTATAGAAATGAATATCATTTACAGTAGTATTCTTTTCTTCAAAGAGAAGAGTTTACACTTATCCTCATTTTAAAAAAGAGGCATCTCGGAAACGGTTTGTTCTGTAATGTAATTTTTCTGCTTGAAAACTAAATAAACCGTCATTCATTCATTGCGAGAGTTGAGTTGGATTCTCGGCGATGAATTCTAAAAAACCAACTCAAGTAGGAGATACGATACGTGACCATGGCTTTTATTAGGAGGAAGATTTACATTCAGCTTGTGCATGGCATTGTAAGGGCTCTGTAAAATAAAACAGTTTAGATGTCTTTGTAGGAGAGTTTATGAAAATACTCTTCACTCGAATTACTTTTTTCCACTAGCGTCTTGATCTTATCTTAGGTTCATTATTATTTTGAAAACGCGATGTCAATTTCATATTATCTTTTGAAATGTTTCGTTAAACATAAAATAATTCAAATATATCATATTTTTTTATGTTTGAACAGCACTTTGAAAGTGATTTCAATATTAATTATTTTTCGGCCGGCTTAAACGCGAGTCTTTCCTGTTTACTTGACCATGAAGGCGGTTAGTTCAAATACAGATATATACCTGGCAGCCAAAACAATTCTTTCAAGTCTTGATCTGATATGTAAAGTTAATAGCGAGACGTACGTCAGAGCACAGCGAGAACTATTATCATTCTTGGCTGTGAGATATATATAGAATAACTTGTTCTTGGCAGTCAGTTAGAATTAAGGGAACACGTGTAAATAGGAGGGCAACCAAGGAAGAAAAAAAAATAGAGGAATACAGGGATCTTAATTAAAACCCCGCCAATTTTCTCTCGCCCGCCCGGACGGTTGTCTCTGCTACTGGCCGAGAACCCAGTCATAAGTGGGCGGGACGAACAAGTATTGAACGTCCTCTCATATGCCTGTTACGTTCTGACTCATGATCAAAGTCGGTTTTCGTAATTCACTGGTAGTGCTTTTAGAATTATGATCCGAATCACTGATTTTCCACCGTTCATTAGCATAAGCGGAAAAGAGATAACTTCCTTGAGCTCGAGTTCGCGCGCTCTTCATAGGATTGACAAGAACTGTACTTCAACTGTTGAGATTTTCAGCTGCTCATATAGTATAAATATCTGCATACATATTGCTCTTAACGTAGGAGTTGAAACTCTATAGCCCGAAGAATTACCAACTTTGCGACATCTATGCTTGCGTTGATTACCAAAGTGACGAACTATTAAGTAATCATTTCTCGTTATGAAGTAATTTTCAATTGAGTTTCAAAAATAAACCCAGGTTGCATTTGCTTTGCTTTAGAGCGCTATTTGATTGCTTTAGATAACTGGTGCCATCTTCTCAACCAAGCAGATGCAGGACTAAAACCAAACTCGAATTGGTCACTGGCTCACATTTTCCCGCGCTTGGCGCAGCTTACATGCTTTGTTTCTGAAGTTCCTATTGGTTCCTTCTGATTCTGCCTTTTTTTCTGACTGGCAGTTACGACTTTCTCGCTATTGATGTAATATGCTCAGTGCTTAAAAGATTTTAGAGTGAACAACGACCGGAGGTGGTTTGGTTTGAGTAAGAAAATATCTTGTACCTTAAATTGGGTTTTTTTGTGTATTCGTAACTCATTCAGTTAAGATAAAATTTTTCGAGTGTCTATCGGTAAATGAGGTTTCATTGGCAAAGGGGAGTGCTTTCAGCATGTTTGGTTCCACTCTTGGAAAAAGTAATGTTGTCTTTTCTAGCCCGAGAAAAAAAATTTAAATGAAAAGCAGGACTAATTAAAAAGAGAAATCTTTTTTTTTTGACAAAAGTAACCGCAATTCTTAATCGGATAAATTTATCGATTATAATAAATTTAAATTTTGCGAAAGAAAAAGAAAAGAAAAGCTTAGCAGGAATATTAGCCTTGGCTCCAACGCAACGCTGTGCTGACCGACTAGATTAATGTTTAAAATGGACAAAAAATTGATCGCCATAGGTCGCCACAGTTAATTTCGAATTAATCCTTTCTTTAACTGTACCCTTTTAAATGAC